AGGAGCTGCCCGCTGGGCCGGCCCCGCTGCGCCACGTGGGGGGCCATGTCCAGCCCCCGCAGGGGGAACCTCACCAGCGTGGTGAGTTTGTGCCGGTGCTCAGCCTCCTGCCGGAACCGCTTGAGGTGGATGATGAGGATGTCGGGCAGCGTCCAGAGGCTCAGCTTCACCGTGCCCTGCTGAGGCACCTGGCAGTGCGGGCAGCGCCAGGCGTCGTCTGGGGCCAGCTGGGGACAGCACATGCCACCACCAACACCTGCCACTGCCTCCTCTCTCCCAACACCCCGGACACCTCCAGAGCCACCACAAATGCCAGCGGGCAGGGCTCGCCCTCCATGGCAGCTCTGCAGGGTACGGGCAGGGTATGGGCAGGGCCCCCCCCACCTGCTCCTCCTTGGTGTAGAGCTGGAAGCACTGGTCCAGCGTGCAGCTGTGCTGCTGCCGGTGTGCCTGCTGCTGCAGCCGCACGCTCTCCAAGTCCTGCACCGCCTCCTCCCGCAGGCTGCCAAAAAGGCTGCACAGGGCGAGGGGACATGACACCGTGGGGAGGGTGAGGAAGGGTGACCTGGATGCTGGGGTGTCCCCCCCGCCCTCGGGGGTAAGGGCTCACCGCTCTTTGGTGCTCGTGTCCCACTCCACCGTCAGCTTCACGTGGGGAGGGCCACCTGCCCCACTCAGCTGCAGGGCTCTGGGGGTGAGGACAAGGTGACAGTCCCCCTGTGGGGACAGCTCCTTGCCAGCCCACAGTAGCAGGCAGGGATGGCCACCACCTCCCCACACAGCACCCACAGTGGGGACACAGGGATGGGGACCCACTGCCCAGGAAACAGGGTGGTTACCACTGCGGCCACACATGGTGACACCACCGGCCAGTATGGTGACACTGTGGCCAGCCACAAGGGCACCCTTGACAACAACACAGCCATGCACAGGGACATCATGGGGCACCACAGAGACCCCGTGACAATCCATGGTGCCACCAGAGCCACCCATAAGGATAATACAACCATCCATGGTGACACCACTGTTACCATCCCTGGGGAGTGAAGGGACCCCCTGGGAACAACCTTGTCCCTGCAGCCTCTTACCTGTCGATGGCAGGGTGGCAGAGGGGGCGGGGGTCCTGCGGGGACAGGTAGGGACATGGGGCTGAGCCCCCAGCCAGGCGGATGCGGAAGAGGGTTCCTGTGCCCTGCAAGGGGACAGGGGCTGTGGCACTGCCTGGGGACAGAGCCACCCCCTCCAGTACCCACAGGGACCTGTGCCTTGTGACACTGGACTAAAAAAGCCCAAAAACCATATTTCTGTGGTCCCTATGGCTGGGCTGTCAGGGGATACTTGTGGGGCTGGGGAGGACCCATCCCATTGGGTGTAGGGTGGCTGTGGGGCCAAGGGGCAGCACAGGGACAGCAGCATCCCTGGGGTGGTAGCACCAGGGTGCGGTGGCTCTGCTGTGGGAGATGGTAGCACTGCAGCCACCCACAGTGATGCTGTGGCCACCCATGGTGACAGCACTGGCTGCCTGCAGTGCAAAAATCCCACCCACAGGGACAGCATGGCCACCCACAGCAACCATCAGCCACCACTGTCAAAAACACAACCATTCTCAGGGGCACCACAACCACCCACAGTGACACTATAGGCCACCCATGGCGACCCTGCAGCCAAGCATAGCTCCAACGTGGGCACCCACAGATTCACCACAGCCATCCATGGAGACACCGTGGCCACCCACGTACCACATCCCGTGGTTCACTATTGCCATCTGCATTGATACCACAGCCAGGGGTGGTGCTCCTACAGCCACCCAGAGCCCCAGTATCTCCACACAGGGAGACACCACAGCCACCCAAAGCCCCACCATGGCCATCCATGGAGACACCATGGCCACCCAGAGCTCTACCGCAGGCACCCATGGCTCCAAGTCCCCCCCAGCAGGGTGTCCACAAGTGCCTGCAGGCCCCAGCCGGGAGCAGGGGTGACCCCCCAGCTCACCTGGGCCTGCACCTCTCCTCGCAGCAGGGCCCGCAGCTGGGTCAGGATGCTCTGCTGGAGCTGATCCCAGGAGATGCTCCGCTCCTCCCGCAGCACCAGCGGTGGCCCAAACCTGGGGACAGTGGGGGACATGAAACCACACCTGGAGCACTATGTCCAGCTCTGGAGCCCCCAAAACACTGCAAGGAGATGGAGCTCCTGGAGTGAGTCCAGAGGAGGCCACAGACATGATCCAAGGGGCTGGAGCAGCTCTGCTCTGGAGACAGGCTGGGAGAGTTGGGGTGTTCAGCCTGGAGAAGAGAAGGCTCCAGGGAGACCTTAGAGCAGCTTCCAGTGCCTTAAGGGGCTCCAGGAAAGCTGGGGAGGGGCTTGGGACAAGGGCAGGGAGGGAGAGGACAAGGGGGGATGGATTAAAACTGGAAGAGGGGAGATTAAGGTTGGACATCAGGATGAAATTCTTTTGTGTGAGGGTGGGGAGCCCCTGGCCCAGGTTGCCCAGGGAAGCTGTGGCTGCCCCATCCCTGGCAGTGTTGAAGGGCAGGTTGGATGGGGCTTGGAGCAGCCTGGGCTGGTGGGAGGTGTCCCTGCCCATGCAGGGGTGGGA